TTTCTTCCTTTCCTTTTCCTTCCCGTGCACTCTCTCTCTCTCCCTCTCTCACTCTCTCGTTCTCTCACACTCACTCTCTCTCTCCCTTTTTTGTCTCAAATAAACCGGATCTCGAATTAAAGAGAAATTTCAAAGAGTTTTCAACGTCAAGAGAAGAATTTGAGGTAAGATTTCTGAAAACCTCTCTTGAATCTCAAGCTTTTTAGATTTAGAAGCTTATTTTTTGTTCGAAATAGATTTTTATGGATTTTGAGTAAAACCATGGTAGAAATTGGAGATATTGGGTTCTTTATACTTGATTTAGTACCTAGAACCCGAATCTAGTGGTTGTCCCTTGAAATATTTTGATTTTGGACTGGATTTACAGGTTTTTGAACTGATTTTGTGAGTTTTCTCGCACTGGTGTTCTTCACCGGTCGACCAGATTGCATTGGCCTCACCGGTCGACCGGATTGCACACCACCGGTCGACCGGTAGTGTTGCACTACTCTGTCACCAGTCGACCGGTGTACACGGGGTTTGACCCCGTTTGGCCTGAAAAATGCTGTTTTGACCTCTGTTTTTTAGGAGAACCCAAATTAGCTTCATTTGGGGACCTAGAATGAATGGATTAGCATCTTTAATCCATGTTTTGAGATTGAAAACCCTTGGAATGATGATTTGAAATATGAAATGGTTTTTGAAATCGGTAATTGAATTATGGCACACTAATAGGAAATCAAATGATATAATTGAGACTGAATTGCTTTAGGAATGAGAATTGAATCCTAAAGTGTTGTCTTGTATCAGTGCTAGCTGAGGACTCAGATTGAGTGGCTTGAGGAAGCGGAAGCCGGAATAGTGCACCGCTAGCCACAGGTTTGATATTTACGAGGTAGGATTTCTTACCCTTTCCTTTGTGAGCCTGTTTTCAAAAAGAGTTTTGACATTGCAAATGTTTTAAAGAAAGGGGCTTGTTTGCGAAAAAAAGTATTTAAAACCCATGGCTTGTTGTAGTTCATGGTACCCATGGCTTGTTTAGTACATAGGACCATGGCTTGTTGTAGTTCATGGGACTCATAGCTTATTGTAGTTTATGAGATTATAATGAACGATTTCATAAAGTTTAATGAATGATTTCTTAAGATAAGAGATCTTGCGAAATGGTAAACCGGCTGATGGCCAAGATAGGATGTGGAGAGTGTTAGCGTTTATGCCCTTAGGAATAAATATAATAATATTCTTTGAGACATTTTGACTATTAATAAAGATTTATTTATTTCATACATCTATGTATTGTCCTCTTTATATTCATAATAGTTGAATGTATGATAAGCAAACTGAAAGTCTGATACTGTCATTCTAAAGATGATAGTCCAAATCTTATGATCCACAATCGAGGGAATAAAGTTAGCCGCTTTATTCATGTTAAGATTGTTATGTTTTCTACTTCCTAACGGAGACGGCTTGTCTTGGTCGTCGGAGGTGGGACTCCATGGGTGGAGATATTGATATAATTTCTAATGGTGAAATCTATATTGGATCGGACCAAAGTTGAATTGTTTTAATTAATAATTTTGTTTGAATAAAATAATTCACTTTTGACGAATTATATGTTGTCATCTTAATCCTGAGATGGATGATGAACCCGTATGCTTGACTTGTATCCTTTGATGTACTAAAAGGAGACATCCTGACATTATGTAAAGGTACGTTTGCCGGTACATTATGGGTATGACTCGTGTATGCGTAGATTTGTTATTCATAGATAGTGGAATCCATAGCTCCTATAAAGAGTCAATGATATCCTCTTATGCATTATCAGTGGATTGAAAAATACGAGTGCTCGACCATTAGACTACTCTGTGTTATCTAATGGTTTACTGTTTGTAATGTATTTTTCCAATGGTATGATAATGGAACATAATATAAATGTAGTTGGGAAGGTAAAACGGAACTTGACCTCAAGTCGATTATGGATATCCCATGGGGATGATACATTAATATATTGAGTCATGGACTAGAGCTAATCAAAGCTTTGTGAATACGCTATATAAATCGAGAGTGCAGCTCTAGGCTTTTAGTGGAATAGCGCTAGAGTTTTATAATCATGAGACGGACTTGTTGGTTTACAAGTAGCGTTGTGATTATAGGAGCTTGATTTATATATGTCCATCGGGTCCTTTTGCTAGCTCAAATAATTTCCTGTAATGATACGGCGTATTTCCTACACATTGGTAACATGTGTCATTTCTGTAAAAGAGGTTCAAAGTTAATTCATGGGTGATTTATCGGGTGAATTAATTGATAAATTAATTCTAGATAAATTGGTTGAATTATTGTTTTAAGAGTTGTTTAATATGGGAAGACTATTATATGATTGTTTTGATCATGCAATTTCTCTATTGGGTTGCTTGAATCAAAACTGAGGCTCTATGTAAGTTTCTCGTGTTGAAAAACTATGGAAACAACTTTCGTCAGTGTAGACAGGTCGACTGGTTGGGTAGACCGGTCACAAGTCGACCGGTCCGGTCGACTGGTTTGTGAAAGACAGGTCGACCGGTGAGTTATAACGTCTCTGTCACCGGTCGACCGGTTGTAACGTAAAATGCATGCTGACGTGGCAAAATCGACTCTGGATGCGATTAGAACTTTGGGAAACCTAATTATTACAGAAGTATGACTTCCTAAACACTATAAATAGCCTATTAAGTCACTTTATTCATTAGATCACTTGAGAGACTTTTTGGCGGCTATTGAAAAAAGATTCCTGAGAGGAAAAATTATTTAATTCTCAAGAACAATTTTTTTCTTTGGCTCTCTTGTGATTGGAAGGAGATCAAGAATTCCAAGAGGAGATTGAACGACGTGTGCCCACCTGCACTCCGATCGTGGAAACGAGAATAGCAAAGAATACCAGTTGGTTGAGGCTTTTCCGATTGCTGTTTGGAACGCTTTGATCTGTCAGATGTGCAGTTTCTTAAATCTCAAAAGGTATGATTTAGATCTTTAGTATTTATGTTATATAGCATCATGAACATGTTCTTGGTTGGCTTTGACGTTGATTAAATTTTTAAAATTCCGCTGCGCACTCGATGCCATTATTTTCCAATAGAGAGTGCATCCTTGGGGGCAGAACCCGAAACCCTGGGGGTGATATGGCTTGTACACGTGGTTGTGTAAGTAATTTATCATAGTATAAATTACTTGCTGATGCCTGTAATACGGATATATTTTTAGATATATTTCCTTGGAGAAAAATGATGTGAGGTTCCGGCTGTTGTGTCGGGACTGAATGTATTATTTTATTTACTTATCCATTTATTTATTTACTCGCTCATTTATTTATTTAGTCATTTATAAAGTTATTTCAAATTATATCCTACTGGGTCTTTCGCTCACGTGTTATATGTTTCAAATGTATTAAACCCCTCCCAGGCGATTCTAGGAGCGGTGCGCAGTAGCTGAATTATTTGCTACCGTTCGATCAAGTGAGGATTGTGTTCATCCTCTTGAATATGTAAGAATTTGTAAAATATGTAAACTCTGATATTTGGATTTCTAGACTGTGGTTGATGTCTGTAATGTTTTATTTACATGTCATGTATGTACGATACTAAAAAATCCTGTGGATAGGTCCTGTAATTTATTTTAATTAAGTGTAGGGCTCGCTGGGAATTTTTTTTATTATCATGCATTTAACCCATAATCGAGCTCCATGTCACCGACTCCTTCTTCGGGGCATGACATCTCTATCATTCAACGAGGAGCACTTAACTCAAGCATTCTAAATCGACTTTTTAACTATGATATTGTTAGGTCACTAAGTTTTTTTTTTTTCCTTCATTTTTTTTGTTATTTTAATTATACTCTTTTAGTCATCAAAATAAAAATTTGAAGTGGGTTGTTGAATAAAAATAAATTTTCTTTAATTCATACGTAATTATGTATGACTCATATGGCAGTTTCATATGTTCTTTTGGAGTTTAAAACTAAATGCGTTTAGAAAAGAGATTCGTGTCATGGTTCGTAGTTCGTTATAGTATTTTCTCTCACAAAAAATACACGTAAAACGAGAATGATTCTGAATCCATGAAATAATTATTGGATATGATTATTTTTTAAATACTTATAATAAAATAATGTCAATTGCAATATTGCATTTAAAATTTTTTGCTAAAAGTTGGTGTTTTTAGTATCCTATTTTTCAAAGCTAAAATTGAACATGCTATTTTCTTTTCTTTGTGTACGTCATTTAACAAAGAAAAAAAATAGCATGTTCAATTTAAGCTTTGAAAAATAGGACACTAAAAACAACAACTTTTAGCAAAAATTTTTAAATGCAATATTGCAATTGACATTATTTTATTATAAGTATTTAAAAAATAATCATATCCAATAATTATTAAGAATATACATTCATTAAAAAAAAGAGAGAGA